CTACTGGGCAGCTTCAGGCACAGCTTGACTCGGGGGCTCAAGCAAAGCCATTAAGACCTGCTTTTCTCTATCTCTTTTTCTCACTCTCTCCTGTGTGCTAGCTTCCTTCTAAGGTTCCACTTGGTGATGAGCTTCCCTTCCTCTCAGCTTCCAGTCCCTCATTTAAATTTTTAAAAATTTGTTTAATGTTTATTTATCTTTGACAGAGAAAGAGACAGAGCATGAGCAGGAGAGGAGCAGAGAGAGGGAGACACAGAATCTGAAGCAGGTTCTGGGCTCTGAGCTGTTGGCACAGATGTGAGATCATGACCTGAGCTGAAGTCGGGTGCTTAACCGACTGAGCCACCCAGGCGCCCCTAAGATATGCTTTTCTGAGAGCTCCTACAGACTTTGCTCTGACTGCATGGGCTCAGGGCACAGGCCCACCTCTGAGCCAATCAAGCACGTGGCTAGGGGGTACCATGTTGGGGCTGACTGGATCCATGGGTGTCCCACCCAAGACACACCCAAACCACTGAGACTGAGAGCAGGAGCAGATGGGATCCCCAAATGTTGTCAGAAGATGGGGGATGGAGGGAGGGCTTCAAGGCAAACTACGAATACCCACTGCCGTGTTCTAAGCATTCGAGGTAGGCAGGGTAGGGAATACCCATTTTGCAGCTAAGGAAGCTAAGGATGAGAAAGGAGATAAGCCTGAAGAAGAGTACACAGACAGGGAGGGGTTGAGTCAGGATTGGAACTGATTCCTCTTCGCTTTCCACCCGAGCCCCTTGCCCAGCAAGCATCCAGTGCCACTCTCCAGGCCTCCCATGTGGAGCTAAACGTCTTCTTCCAGGTCTGCTGTAAGTCCGTCAGGAGCGTCAGGAGCTTGGGCACAGGAAAGACCTCCAAGGCTGGGGACACCGTGACAGCCCCCCCCCACCCCACCCCCGGCGCTACCTATAGAGGCACCAGAGCCCCAGCCACATCCCTCCGCGCTCACTGCAGGACAAGCTGAAAGCCTGCGCCCAGCTCTCCCCAGGCATTTTTTCTGCCCAGCGGCAGGGGCGGGGACAGGCCAGGGGGGCCCAGGAGCAGCCAAGGATAAATGCCAGCCTCTTGGTTCCATGGGCGGCATGACAAGGTGGGGCCTGTTCTGTCTGCTTGCCCACAGTAGCGACTGGCCCAATCAATAACACCCCCTCTCCTGGCTGCCCTCCCTGCCCGTCGCTGCCCCCCTCCTTTCTCTGCTTCCTGGGATCACCCCTCAAGCAGGCTTGCATTCAAATCTTCGTCTCCAGATCTGCTTGTGGAAAAATACAACTTAAGGTAACCACCCCTCCCCCATTCTTCTAGAACATAAGGGTACAGGAGGCCTGAGGGAGTTCAAGTACAGGGATGATTTTCAAATATTTTTCTAGTAGAATGACTTTTTTCAAATGCTTTTCCTCTGTCTGGCGTCTAAACCCCACCCCCCTCCTGAAACCCAGACCTCTGCCCTCCCTTCCCCCCTCGTCCCATGGAGGCCCAGGTGCCCCACATCCCCTTCCGAGTCTTGTGAACTCCTCGAAGTCCATGGCATTTTTCTTCCCTGCCAGGCTGTGTGCCGAGGGGAGGCGGGAAGTGTGGATCCCTTGGTGAGACAGGCAGGTCCTGGAAATGGTAGCACTCGGCTCCCTCACCACACGCCTAAAAAATCAGACACATTCCACACCTCAGAAACAAGTTTCCTGTCGAAAACCCTCGCCGAGTCTACATATTCTTTGTGATCCTGTAGCTCTGGCCTAATTATGCTGTAAGAGTTCCTGCCCCCTCCACCATGGAAAACCTGTCTTTCAGGCATCAACCCAACGTCGGAGAGCGCCATGTTGGAGAGCTCCGGACACATCAGGTCCTGGGTGTCTCCCCGGGCGTCAGGAGGGAATGTGAGAGATCTACCTTGCTATCTCCTTTTGCCTGCCTCCCCGCCATCTTCTTCACAAGGACCACCTTCCTATCCCTCTCTGGAGTATCTCTGGAGATGGGCGTATCTGTTATCAAATGCTGTGTAACAAATTAGACCAAAGCTTAGTGACACAACACGTGATTTTCATTATGCTCACCAATCCTGCAGGTCGAGATTTCAGGAAGCTGCGCCATTCTCATTTCAGGCCTCCCACGTGGTTGCAGTCAGATGTTGGCCGGGGCCACAGTGATCTGGGCCGGGGCCCAGAGATCTGCTTCCAAGGTGGCCCACTCATGTGGCTGGCAGGCAGTGCTAGCCATTGGCCAAAAGCCCTGACTCGTCCCCATGTGGGCTTCTCCCCAGTGCTGCCCTGGCATTCTCACGGCATGGCAGCTGGCTTCCCCCAGAGCGAGAGCCCAGGATCCAAAGCTGCAACACCTTTTGTGATCCGGTCTTGGGAGCCACCTTATCGCTTTTGTCTAATTCTATTGTCTACGCGGGGCCAGCCCTGACTCAGACACACCTGTAGGCGTCACGGGGGCCATCTTGAAGGCTGGCTACCACAGGAAGTGTAATGGGAGCCCTCTCCACCTCAGGTGGTCCATACTGCCTGATCCTCAGTCCTGGCCTGATCCTAACACACTCCTCTCTTCCTTCACCACCACCGCCGCCACCTCCCAAATCCCCCTAAGGTGAGACTGTGGCGAAGTAGTGTGTACCAAGAATTCAGGGCCCAGGGCAGGAAATGTCTGCAAAGCCCTCGTCATCAGTCATCCCCCTCGGTGTCGCACTCTCAAGCCACGCTCCTCTTACAAACTTACAGGACTCCTGGGGGCAGGGAGGGGAGCCCCGTCATCACCGCTGCACTATGGGAACAGAAGCCCTAGGAGGGTCAGAGGGAAAAATCAGCTTTATTGCTGGAAGGGTGAGATGGGGGAATGGGGGTGAGGGGCCACCCGACGGTTGACAGACACCCCAACCACAACACCAAAGAAGAGAGAACTGCTCCAGAGGCTGCCTGTACACCATCAGAGGAGACCCAAATAAGCAACGCCGGCCTTGGGGCGTCTGGGTGGCTCAGTCGGTTAAGTGTCAGACTTCAGCTCAGGTCTTGATCTCATGGTTCCTGAGTTCGAGCCCTGCATTGCACTCTGTGCTGACAGCTGGGAACCTGGAGTCTGCTTCGGATTCTGTCCCCCCGCTCTCGCTGCCCCTCCCCCCTTGTGGTGTCTCCCTTTCTCAGACATAAAAATTAAAAAAAAAAAAAAAAGAAAGAAAGAAAGAAATAGGCAGCCTGATGTTCCCAGAATCTGTGATTCACAGTCTGTGAGCAGATCGGAGGATGGTTTTATTCCACTTCATGGTGGAATAATTTGATATGAGGCATTAAATAACCAACAGCCCCCAGGTCCAAATTCACCACCTCTTAAAGCGGTGATTCTGCCCCAAGCTAACCTGACCCAAGGATGTCAGGCTCTCTGCAATTTTACCGGTCAGACTATGGCCACGGCAGTAGGAGCCACATTTGCACCGCACACCCTTTCCCTGGTCAGGTGACCGGGCCTCAGCTAGACCTACCGGATCTAAGCTCAGCCCATTAGACGCTCTCTCTTCCCATGGGAACCGGGCTTCCCAGATGAGCAACTGAGGTGTATTATTAAGGGTTCAGGAGCCATGGAGAGGTTACCGTCCACTGGGGTCCAGAGAGGACACATGAAGAGGGGCACGAAGAGGGGAAAGGAGGGGGCACAGAGAGACAAAAGATTCCAGACCCAGTTCCAGTGGGTTCCAGGAGAGGCTGTCTCCTTCCAACATTGTCCTTTCTCTCTTACTCTGGTTTTTGTTAAATGTGTAAAAGATGGAGGCTCTTTTGTTCATCCAAACATATATAGTTGGGAACAAACATAATACGTAGTTTAAAGAAATTCTCTGAAAAACCATTGGGGGTTCAATAGGGACTTGGGGGGTGCAAGTTCCAAGAGCTTGTCCACATTTCCACAGGTGTGGGGAGGCTGCACTCTGAAGGACAGATGAGAACATCACGCTGCTTCTAGAAGCATTCTGGAGCAGGGCTTCCAGAGAACCACCACCTGGGTTTCAACCCCGGCTCTTACACTTTACTGTGTAAGACGGGACCAGTTGCCTCTGGCTTTGGTTTCCTCATCTATAAAATGGGCATGCTGATGATAATGGCAGCTACCTCAAGGTGCTATTGTGAGGACTCAGGAAGTTAATACACAGAAAGTGCCTGTTAACAGCAATCACCAAATGTTTGCAATAGTGAGGAAAGTGGTGACTGTTGACATAAAGTCCCTGGAGCCCTGAGGTAAAGTTAGTGTGCAAGGAGCTGGGGCACAGGTGAATTTGAGAAGAATGGGACTTAAGGTGGATTATTCGCCACTGCGAATACCCCAGGGGGTTTTCTGGGCACGAGGCAGCCTGAGTCCCTGCTCTCACAGAGCCCCGTTCTAGAGGAGAACAGGCAGCCAACAAGGTCCTTTCAGATGCTGACTCCAAGACAACAGAACTCGGGAAGACGATGGGGGCTGGCCGGAAGTCTTCTCTGGAGAGGGCAGTCAGGGAAGGCCTCTCTGAGGAGGTGATAGGGATGACTAGATTCCCAAAGACACCAGCCCTGAGGAGGGAAGCCATCAAGGAGGGGACCGCAGTGAACGGGGGTGGGGGGGAGACGCCACCAAGGCGGGGAGCAGTGTGTGGGGAGGGCAGGGCCGGGGGAGCCCCCCGGATAGGCAGCCGAGCAGGGGCGTGGAGGAGCAGAATGGCTGACACAGGTTCTGTTCGGTTCTTCGCTGTAAAGCATGGACAGACGTGGCGGTGTCCATCTCTGCCTTCACTGAGTCCATCCCCCCCGTTCATGTGTGTGGGCGTCTCGGTTCTCTCCCGGGAATTCAGGGAGGTTCTGAATTCAGGAGAAACGAGAACCAAGACAACAGGCCCCTCCGACCCTCTCTTCCTCAAAACTTAGCCCTTCCTAAAAAGAGTCCACAAAATTCCCTATTTATTCAGAGCCCAAGGCTGGTTAACCTGCTGTAAAGAGGAAGCTGAGGGAACTCACCTTCATCCCGAGAACTTGCTGAAGACCAGAAGGCTCCCTCAGCAACCTCCAGTGAGGAGAGGCAGGAGAGCACTGGTTTGGGAGTCCAGAACACTGGGTTTCAGTCCCTGCTCTGACACTCATGTACGAGGTGCCTGGGCAAGTCACTCAACTAGCCTGCTCTGTAAAACACAGTAACGGTGCCTGGAGAAGCTCAGTGGGCCTTGCACACCACGGCAGGGACTATCGATCTCAAGAGACCCAAGCTAATCGTCCCGTTTCCCACCCTTCCAGGTGCCAGGCACGTGCTGAAGAAAAACTGCCAACAGAGACTGCAAACCCAAGGAATGAGCTCTGGGTGGGACAGCTTTGTTGCGGAGCCAGTCACCTAGTCCGACACAGAGCCCAGGCTCTGGGGGGATACAAGTTCGATGAGGAAAACCGGAATTAGGTTTACTTAAAACCAAACACCAAGAGGGGGCGCCTGGGTGGCTCGGTTGGTTAAGCTTCCAACTTCAGCTCAGGTCATGATCTTGTGGTTCGTGAGTTCAAGCCCCACATCAGGCTCTGTGCTGCCGGCTCGGAGCCTGGAGCCTGCTTCTAATTCTGTGTCTCCTTCTCTCTCTGCCCCTCCCCCTCTCATGCTCTGTCTCTCAAAAATAAATAAACATAAGAAAAAAACAAATACCAAGAACTGTCTGCTCCATGTGAGGAAAGCCAGGCCTCTGAACAGGACAGTGACCCCAAGGCTTGGCAGCAGACAAGTGCCAGGCTAGCTAGAGGTACCAGCTGCACGTGCGGCCGCATCTCAGGGTCATGGCTTTCAGCACCTCTGCTGTGCACATGAAGGGCATGCCGAGGTCGGAGTTAAGTGGCCCAGATGGTCGGTCCCAATGTCAGTAGGCCAGGTGGTCAAGGCAGGGGTTATCACCCTGCACAAAGCCCCACTTGCATTATCACCGATCCTCACAATAACCCCACAAGATCCGTCTTCTTAGCCCAATTGTAAAATGGGAAACTGTGGCCCAGAGAGGTCACGGATTCCCCCCTACCCCAAGGTCACAGAGTTAGAAGGTGGCTGGGCTGGGATTTAAACCTAGATCTGTCTGACTGCAAAGAACAGAACTGCACATCAGGCCACAGAAATGTGTGCTCTGGATGGTTAACAAGCGGGCAGTAGTTCCCAGGCTGAGCTGGGAATGCTCAGAAGTTTGTGGAAGAGGGAGGCAAGGAAGAGCCAGGCCAGAATGCTGGGGCCAGTGGTCCCTCCCAGGCCCCTGGGGTTGGTGGGAAGCTTGGCCAGGATGCCACAGGGAGAAATGTGGGCCCAAGCTGCATGGGCAGAACCAGCCTCCAGTTTCCCCTCAGCAGCAACCCCACCGCCACCAGGGGGTGGTTTTTCAACCCAGACTTTCTGACCTCACCCCTCCCCTCCCTGGGCGGCCAGACACCCCGACCCCCCTCCCCACCCCAGACCGCCTGCCAGCCAGCCCTGCCTCCCTCCTGGAGCGGCCGGAAGCCCGCAGTCGCGCTGCAGACACCCCCTGGTGGAAACAGCTCATTACGGGATGGGGAAAATGTGCTAGAACATTAGCTTAATAAATCAAGCGCTCCCGGAGCCCGCAGCCACCACCGCTCCGTGAGGCAGGGCCGTGAGGCGCCCACCCCCGCTGAGGCTGGGGGGTGGGGGGAGCCCAGAACGCCCGCCAGCCCCCCCCCAAGCCCTGCGGAGCTCGGCTCGCACCCCCACCCCAGGGGGCCAGGCTCGCGCCGCCCCGCCCCCTCCGCGGCCACCTCTCCCGCGGAGCCTAGAAGCCTGTGTACATGTAGAGAGGGCTTGGAAGTCGAGGCCACCCAGGGTGAGGATCCTCCTGCTGCCACTTGCCATGTGGGCCTCCCGGAGCCTCGGTGTCTTCATCTCTACCATGAGGCAATAAAAGACACTATTGATTCAGGGCCGGCTAAGAGCCAGTACACCCTCCATACCTCTCAGAGCTCTGCGACAGCCCAGAGACCTCCCGTTTTTTTTGATTTTTTAGACTTTTTTTTTTTTTTTTTTTTTTTTTTTTCAGAAAGATGGGACACAGAGCATGTAGCTGGGTTATATTCAGTCCTGCCAACCCTCTGCCCAGGGTCACTACCACCCCAGTAGCCCCCCACCTTCACCCCTAGAGGGTGCTCTAGGAGAAGACAGTACTGCAGGGTAAGCGGGTCCTACAGGGCAGCTGGGTCTACACCGCAACACGCTGGCCACCCTACCCGCTGCACACCCTCTCGGCCGACAAGGTGGGAAAGGGGCCGGGCGCCTTCTGCCTGGTACAGGGGAAGGCGACCCCAGCTGGCTGCCCCTGGCGTGGCTCACACCAGACCCTTTCCAGTCCCCATCCCCCACCTTCCTGGGGCAGTGCAAGGGAGGTCTGCCCCCAGGTGGCCCTTCCCTTCCAATCCGGTTCAGGTGCAGTCCACTTAGTGCCTGCAGAGAACCCCATCCCGCCCCCGGCCTCAGTTTCCTCCTCTGTACACCGCTTAGCCCCAGAGGATCCTAAGAAGTCTCCAGCTTGCTACCTCCCTCTCTTCCCACTGCTCTGGGCTGGGAAGGGGACACAACACCAGAGCTCCTTGGTAGGGAAAACCACTGTCTAGAGAGCTAATTCCTCCTGCTCTCTGGGGGGTGGAGAGAGGGCTGGAGGAAAAAAAATTCAATTACCAGACCGACTATTTGTCAACTCCTCCCTCCCCATTGACTTAATTTTCTCCAGCCAGGCCCAGAGTCAGAGAAGGCAAGAGAGAGCTTGCAGGCCCCGAGAGGGAGGGAGAAAAGGTAGCAGGAGCAGGGATGGGGAAGGAGGACACCCCAACCCGGACACAGGATGGGCCTCTTGGGCGCACACCAAGCCAGGACGCCTCGCATGAGCCCAAAACAAACCAACAGCACCCAGAGAAGAGGAACAGATATTCTTGTGTGCCTAGCCCTGCCCAGGAACTCAGAGCAGCATCACTTCCTCCAGGAAGCCTTCTCGGATCCCCCAGGCTGGGTTAGGAGGCTCCCCTGGGCTCCCACAGCCCCTTTGGACTGTGCTCATGGACTGTTAACTTTCACTCATTTCTACAACAAATATCTGTAGAACACAGTACATTCCAGGCTAAGCGCTGGGAATAGCACCGAGAACAGAAACGATAGCCCACCCGAGAAGGCCAATACAATAAGTATAAACCTGTTTGGATTATCAACAAATCGTATCAAACCTTTGTGGCTTAAAATGACCATCACATTCTTTCCTCTCAGGATTTTTGTGGGTGGGAAATGTGGGAAGGGCACCGCTGGGCACTTCTGGCTCAGGGGGACCCCACGTGCTACTGGAGACGGCGACAGAGGGCCCAGCAGCTGGGGGACAGCCGAGCACCCGCTCTTCATTTAGTCCCAGGGCCTCTCTGCACGGACTCTCCGTGTAAATGAGTTTGGGCCTCCTCACAGCATGGCGGTTTTAGGGTACTCAAGGCAGCTGGCTCCCATCACAGTGAACTTCCCAAGAAGCCAAAGCAGACACCACGCGTGGCACTTTTATGACCTGGCCTTAGTCATAAAAATAGTGTCCTTCCGCCATACTTTGTTGGTCATAAAGGTCCACCCGGGTTCCAAGAAAGGATATATTGACCCTTGATTTGAGGTGGGGAATGTCAAGGTCACATTGAAGAGGAGCATCTGGGATGGAAGATATTATTGAGGCCGTTTTTGGGAAATACAATCTGCCACAAAACCCACTTAGATTTAAATAGGATCCCTCCATTCACCCTTGGAAGCCAACTCCTCCACATTTCACATTTCTGCAAATTCCCCAGGGGCTGACTTAGGTTTCCACGATCACTTCTGATTCCAAAATCCTGCTTCCGCTGTATTTGATTAATCCTTGGAGCTCTCACCGGCCTGTGGGGGCTGACTCTGTCACAGGCCACGAATCTTGGGCAGAAACTCCACCCCTCCCTCAGTTTCCACAAAACACTCACTGGAGGCAAAAGAGAACAGAGTGGACTTTGCTGAGGGTCAGAGGAACAACTCTGGGGACTTGAAATTGAGGGTCAGGCACTCTGCTCTAACTGAGGCTTATGCCCAGCCTCGTCACGGTGCACCCCTCACCTCACCTCACCTCCCATCCCCTTTCACCCCATCCCCCTCCACTCTCTGTCTCTCCCCTTCCTCACAACCCCAAACCCCACCCACATTTTTGTCAGTCAAGTTCATCGCTTCTCCAGCAGACCTTGCCCTCATCTCAGCCCCCAGCATCCTTCAGGAGGCTCAGACAAAGGGCCTTCCTGAACTCCTTCCCTGAAGTTCCTTTGATTTAGTGATGGATGTTTTCCTCCATTTCCCACCCCAGGACCATCAGGTGGGACCGAGGCTCTAATGGGGAAGGGGTTCATAGGGACCCCTTCACTTAGTCTTTGGATCAACATTATTCTGTCCAGTCTGCCTCTGTCACTGTGAGTTCTCAGAAGACTGTCTGAGTCGTTGAGTCCTTGGACCCCACACAGGGACCGACCCCAAAAGAGCACTCAGAAAAAGTTCTCAAAATGACTGCCATTCAAATGACGGTGACACCAGTGAGGGGGGAGAGAGGTCAGACCCTTCAAGCCAAGCCGATCACCCCATCCCTAGAGGAAGAGCCTGCTCTGAGGCAGTTGTGGTAGGCCGTCCTCCATGCTGACCGTGGGGCGCCCGACAGGAAGACATCTCAGAGACCCCCACCAGAAAACGTGTGAAGGACATAACAAGCGATTCACAGAAGGAGAAGCCCGGATGGCTAACAAGTGCATAAAGAGCTATTTACACTCACAAATGAATGTGCTGGCATTTGTCATCCATCATATTGGCAAAAATATGAGTGGTGGATAATACCAAGTGCTGGCAGGCGGGCGGGGAGGCGGAATGCTTCTGTACTGCTGGTGAGGTACCAAGTGGTTCAGTCCTTCTAGAAGCCCGACAGCAGTTAGTAAAATGAAGTAGATGTGCGTCCCATAACAGCCGTTGC